CCACTCTGACACACATAGGGTCTCCATGAATTATAAATGACGCACTAGTAAGTGGTTTTCAGATTTATAACATCATAGTTTTGACAATTTTTCTTACATTTATTACTGGTAAGCTGTGAGTTACCATTTTATTATCAATTCTGAATTTCCAAAAACATGATTCCTTTAAGCCCAGAGTTATTTATCTTAAATTCAAACCAGTCTAAATGTGCACAGCTGATTTAACTTATCAGTTTGACAGAATAGAGCAATTACTAAAGCATGTTAAGATTGTCTAGCCATTTCTCCAGAAGCTCTGGTAGCATAGTACCTAAGGCACTGGACTGCTAACCAGGAGGCTGGCAGTTCAAACCCACCAGCCACTCCTCAGAAGGAAGATTGGGCAATCTACTTCCGTAGAGATACCGCCTTGTAAACCCAAGGAGGGGTCACTATGAGTCGGGTCCGACTCAATGGCACATAACAACAACAATAACGGCCATTTTTCCATTTTATCATCTCCATATCTTCAGTTGACCTAAAAAGAAATATTTACACAGGAATAAATGGTAAATTTCTAATCATTCATTTGCTATCAAACTGTGCTACCACATTTCCAAAACCTAATTATTACCTGAAACACTGAAGAGAAGTGGATTCACATCCTGCAAAAACATGTTCCTTTGTAAGCACCTCTCCCAATTAAAATATGACCCAAGTTTGCTGGTCCGATAGAGCATGGTGGAACCACTGAGATTATGGCCCCTAGCTGCCTTTCAGGTCTGGAATTGAAACCACACCTGTGGTTTCCAGTCAACAATAGACAGGTATATGAGTTGAACATATCCCTGAGGTAGATACACTCCTTGGAGAGAACAATCCTGGGAGAAAGAAGGGCTGCTTACACACAGGGAGACACCTCAGGGGGCAGAAGTACTGGAGGGATAGACACAGGGAAGAGGAAACTATGTGCAGGAAGTGGGAGGGGAGCTGTTGCATTGTGGTAGACTGTAGTCAATGGCATGAAACAAAGTGTATGTGAACTGCTGTACGGAAAGTGAATTTGCTCTGTAAATTTTCACCCAAATCACAATTTAAAAAAAATTAATAATATAGATATAGATATATAGATATGAGCCAGTAACAATTAGTAAGTGTCCAGTACTTAATATTAGAAGTGATTAAGCAACTGACAAGCATAAGAATGGAAATACTGCAAACTAAGTCTTCTTCAAGGACTAATTTTCTAGAAAGTCCTGCCTTTCTCTACATAAAAAGCAGTATTAGGCGGGGCAAGATAGCGGACTAGGCAGAAGGATTGCACAGACCCTCTTCAACAAAGAAAAGGGAAACCAATTAACACAGACACAGAAGATAAT